AAAAAGGTGACCTCCAGGATCCTTGAGGGCCCTAGGAAGGATCCTCCTGCTGGTGGGCCTCGGTACGACGCTTACATATGCTTCAGCAACAATGACTACAAGTGGGTAGAAACCGCCCTGTTGAACAGACTAGACTCTCAGTTGGCGGAGCAAAACGTCCTCCGTTGCTGCTTCGAGGTCAGAGACCTCATCCCAGGTGAAGATCACCTGTCCAATATCAGGGATGCCATATGGGGGAGCAGGAAGACAGTTTGTATTGTGTCTAAAGAGTTCCTCAAGGATGGCTGGTGCCTGGAGGCCTTTACCCTGGCTCAGAGCAGGATGCTGGAGGAGCTCAGAGATGTTCTCATCATGGTGGTCGTGGGGAAAGTCCCCCATTACAGACTGATGAAACACAAAGCCATTAGGACCTTTGCCCAGAAGAGGGAGTACCTGCAGTGGCCGGAGGACCCCCAGGACATAAAATGGTTCTATGAGAAGCTCATGTCCAAGATTCTTAAGGACAGGAAGGTAAAAAAGAACACCGCCAAAGATAACAACGGGGATATCACACTTGTAAATATGACAGAAGTTGGAACTTAATGTTGTTGACCAATTTTTCCACGGCCTGTATGCTTAAGTGAAAATCATATTTTACTGTACTGTGAATTCATAGATCATACATTTTTATTTTGTCTGAATAACATTAAGAATTTTTACCATATTGATTACAGGCAAAATGGAGAGGGTCCTCTGTCTTTTGGCATAGCTTGTTTTTTACCACTAGGTGGCGGGCTCAACCTTTATTCACTAATATTGGTACTGTGAAACGTTACCTTCTGTATAAATCAAATCCAATTTTATTGGTCACATACACATATTTAGCAGATGTTATTGCAGGTGTAGCGAAATGCTTGTATTTTTTGTTTGTTTTTTATGTAAGGAATAACACACAAAAACAAAATGCTGCAAAGTTGCTTAGGAGCTGCCATGTAGGTCGGCGCAATCTATGATTATAGTGTGTTTTGCAGTGTGTACAATGCAACGTTCTCGTGGTTTACATTTACACATTGTAATATAATTAATGTAAGGATTTTGGTAATTTTAATAAAACATTCCAACTTCTCTACTAAACTTGAATAATAATTATGCTAACTTTTATACCGCATGCATGCTTTCACTTGTTCTGAGGATTTGAAAAATGACTGTGAATTTATCTCCTCCCTACTTCCCTACTTCCTATGTGTGAAAACAGGATGCCACTGGGTAGAGTAAAACTTCCTGCTGTAAGGAGGATCTGAGAATAACCTCATCCTCTCTCAGCAGACACAGCCCACTGGGTACAGATGTAAGTTCAATGTCTATTCCACGTTGGTTCAGCGTAATTTCATTGAAATGACGTGGAAACAACGTTGATTCAACCACTGTGTGCCCAGTGGGAGTGTTTAGGGCTTCTTGATGGAAACCTCTCCTGACCTGTGTTAATTAACACAGCACACGTTTAGACATCTAATGTTATTGGAAAGGTTTTTGAATGGACATGTAATCTAGGCCTACCATATAACAACCATTTCTGTTTTGTAACAATCTCACATTTTCATTTAAAACACAAAGTACTATACCATGTTTCAGTAACAGGAATGGATCTCTGTTAGAGATAATGTAAAAGTGTAGCCTTAATGATCATGTGATTTTTCTCTTATAACTATGAGAAGATAGAAAGCACAGTGTGGTTCTACAAAAACTGTAACATAAACCACAAATCATGAGAGGAAAGTGCTTCTGTACAGGTGTAGGATCTTAATTTGACCTATATTGTCACGGCAAAATAATCCAGCATCAACAAGATTGGAATGTTTAGTCCATACTGTTGATTGATCGGTGGTTAGGCCATTAGCTGGTCAAAAATATTCTACATTAAAAGTGCAATACTGTTAATATAATTGTGTGTTAGTGTGGGTTTTTAGTGAATCTATGTAAATTGCGAAGCTCATCTGCATTCCCTGCGGTGCAGGAAAATTCCCATCAACAAGAGTGATCAAATTAAGATCCTACAATTATATTATGCTTCGTCAAATACTCAATTTGCAAGAACCCTAGAGCTCAAATTGAAAAGATTAACAAATATTTACCAAGTAAATAAACTACAGGTCTCCGCTTTAGAGTTATTTCAGGGATCCGTAGTGTTATTGGAACAGAGGCGCATGCTGGTCAGATTCCCCTCACAAGAAAATGTAATAAACGCTGCCCCATAACCATAGCAAATATTTGACCTCAGTTCAAACAAATATAATGATATGCTTTCCGTGTAAGCTGAGGTGAAATCCATTGACCGGAGTGGTCAATCTACAGTGAGCTGGCCTGGTGTATAAAGACACCCATGGAGGAGACCTAAGACCAGGGAACACAGTCCATCCAGTCATATAAAGCCCATCACTTCAGTATAACAGGATCTCTCATGCAAATCCCTCTAACCAACCACACTTTTCCCCTTGGGTAAATTTACGCAATGTGTTTTTTTAAAGGTTTGTTTGTATCTTTGTATGTGTGGGGGGAATGGGATTAGAGGGGGGTTACAAAGCAAAACAGAGGTTAGTAGTGACGCACAGCGGTACTTTTGACTTCCATCTCTATTTTAGAAGGGGATAAGGGAAAATAATATAGAAAATGTTCTATTGAAGACCACAGAGGCCTGTCCCCCCCCACCTGACTGCAGAAACAGTCAGGTACTGGTAGCCTACCCAACCCAGGCTAGAGGCCATGTGGTAGTAAAGGAGTTGATGGAGCACCTGCAGTCAACTTGATTGGCGTCTGTCCTCAGAGAGAAAGACAGGCCTGAGTGGCAATCAAGAGCATGGAGTTTTAATGGAGCATAACTGCTTTTCCCATCTACCCCTGGGGCTCCGGCTGTGAGTGTTTGGTACGGGATCAGCCTTCAGATTCCACACAGGAAAGGAAAGGCAGGGAAGAGAGGACCTATTTCCCAACGGACCCTTTGGAAACAGGTGTTTTCTGCACTTGGAATGCTGGAGTGGCCTTGCCAGCGTGGGGAGAGAGCACAGGGATAAGGATATTATGTCTGTCTCCGTCACCTGTTTTTCCAGCCATATCTTCCCTACAGTTTTGAAGTTCCACATTATTCAAGTTATCTCCTCTGGTAATTGCTTCTTATGAGATTGCAAGAGCAGCCAACATTATGAAAATACTGAGTGACTCTGTGATACCAGGATGTTTATATAAGCTATGTAAGGTGAACTTCAGGATACAGCTGTGCCTCAGACTCCTATTAATGTGCTGTGCACGATGAAATACCAAGTTAAATTAACTCAACTCATGGCAATATGGGCAACCACTCATCATTCTCTGCCTAATATACAGTACACTGACTAGCGGCTAGCCATTTATGATAGAGTAGACTGAAGCCCTTCTTCCTTAGATATGAGGAGCGGTCTCCCCAAGAACAATTTTCTCAGGTAAAGATCAGATTGTCAGAATGCTTCATCTGAGACAAGTCTGCCAATTTGTCCAATGTATCTTTCTTGTAGTTCTCCCTGTAGTGAGTGTTCACACAAAAGGAAGATGTGGCTAGCTATCCTTCCCCAGTCAAAGGTACGTACTGTTGTCTCTGTGGCATTCCTCAGGTCAGGACTGCAGAAACATTGGGGCTAGGTAAACAAGGGCAAGTTTACACAGGCGGCATGTCATTTTGGAAAGTTTCCAGCCAGCGGTTCGAACAGTTGCCCCTATGAGTGACAGAGGTCCCATCTGTACCCCTCAGTGATTGGCAAGGCTGAACAGGGATAGGGATTTATACTGGCTGGAACTAGATGTGATTGACAGGAAAGAAATGTCTGTGCTTAGTTCCTGTCTGACCCTCGCCCATGAAAGTGTGAGATAGAAAGGGAGTGGAGAAATGAGAAAGAGGACTTGGCAGATGCTAGAGGAATTTCTACTCGCTCACACCATATCATATAGTTTTATTGTACCCCTAATCAACGTTAAAACTGATCTTTGGTTTTTAGTGGGTATGGTGTCGGAGACTAAGGGGGCTGGGCTACAGTGGCACCTTGGTCTCTCTCTCACAGATAATTACAGCCGTCTGGTAGCCTACCATACAAGTTCAGAGCTGCATATCTGACATTAATTCACGACTGAAAGTGTAATTATAATTCTGTCTGCTGTGGTGAGTCATACTTCCTGCAGAGCCGTGTCTTAACGTATATGTTTGCTCTGCAGCAGAAGGTTTGGCCAAGATCTTGGACCACCAGGGAAACCTGTTAGAAGGGGGGATGGATGGCAGGAGCCAGAACAGCAAATAAAACACAGGACTTTGGATTTGTGGATGTAAATTAATAGGATACTTTCCATTGGATGGAGTTAACAAAGGGCTTCCAAAGATTCTGAGAAAGGGAATAAATAGAATGTAATTGACATGTTACAAAATCAAAATGATAGGACCCATATGAGTTATACTATTACAGTTGCATGTGTAGATGAAGGGTGTGGATGGTTTAGTGGTTAAGAGGTAGCCTAGTGGTTAAGAGCGTTAGGTAGGTCAGTATCCGAAAGGTCGCTAATTTCGAATCCCAGAGCCAACTAGGTAATAAATAAATACAAATCTGTTGATGTGCACTTGAGCAAGGCACTTAACCCTTATTGCCCCTGTAAGTCGCTCTGGATAAGAGAGTCTGCTAAAATGTAAATGTCTGAGACCTGCTGATGTCCTACTGTCTATGATTCTGACCAGCTTGGAATGTGATGCAGGCTCTTGGGGAGTGAAGATTAGAAATCAAACGTCTGTGTGGTGTAGGAGCTCAGAGAGCCCAGCACAGCACCGTGGCCTCAGGCCAGACCGAGCAAATCTTCTAAAGGCGCCAACAGCAGTGAGACAATGAAACAGGTGTACCAGTTGTTATTTCAAACCGTACCCTTTGAACAAACCCTTGAGATACTTTTCATTTCATACTGTAGGAGCAGAGTGGAAAGAGCCAGACAATCATGTTAAAATGACTTTATAATCATACAGTACATCTTTCATATTGGACCGAAAGGCATGTGGCAACGCGAAACAGACTAAGGCCTGTGGTTCTTATAGAATAAAGTCAATGGTTCACCTTTCCTTAAACAGGTTAGAGCTTCATAAAATTACAGTATACTCAAAATAATACAGTACATCTGACCGATCAAACCAATATCTGCACAGTAGAAACAGTAATCACAGAATATATATAGGGACATACTTTTACATGAACGACATAAGGCACTTGGTCAGTGAAATATCCCAAACACTTTAATTGCATAGGGACACTGCTCCTGATAGCTTGATATGACAAAAGTTTACTCTTTAGATATAGTCTCTTAAGTCTCTTTGCTGTCAGCATAAACTTTCAGATGAGGGTTTTGAATTTATTGCAAGAGCAGGCACATTGGCTTCAGCTTTTGGCACGTTAAACTCAACAGAATTGCACTTTACTTTTAAAGTCCTGTTAAAACAGTAGAGTTTCTTGGGAGAGGCTGAGGATGCCCTCTCTTTTTTAGGGTTCTGTTTGCACGTTTTGACACTTTCTTCCCATGTGACGGGAGTAGTACTGGTTTCAAGCTTCTCCTGGTTGCCAGGTATCTTATGACAAGAGTCCTTTTGCATCGTGGTGGACACATAATTATCCATGCTCTGATTCCTCAGAGAGTTGACAATTTTCTCTTCCGCCCTCTGTGTTTCATGATTGGCTATGCAGCACCCTGTGTGTGTGTGGGCTAATGTGCAGCCCAGAGCGGAGGCAGGAGGACCTTGAGTCTGGGCTGGGGTGGTGGGGCTGCCACTAGGGCCAGAGGACCCTCCAGTCCGGTGTGCTTCCTCCAGCCCAGCTGGGTCTGGGGCAGAGTGCTGGTCCCTGGGGAGGCCACCTGTGAGGGGGACAGTGTGAACACAGTAGTTTCTGAGGTGGCAGCTGTGAGGGCCCTGTCTGGGCAACCTGCCCGGGGTGCAGTGGTGGAAGTGGGCTGGGGGACAGTGGACATAGTGCATACGGCAACCTATTGGTTTGTAGACTGCGTCCAGAGTGGAAAGGAGGGTCTGGCCTTTGTTCGCATGGCTGCCTGTGAGGGGGAACAGAGGAGTGGGGCATGGGGAGTCCTGGGTGGTTTGAGTACATGGGTGGGGGGTCCACTGCATACCCATAGACTGCTGAGGGTGAGGGGGATCTCCACATGTGCAGGTTGTGTTATGGGAGTACTGGCATCTGGGTGTGGGGTCGGTGGCCAGTATGCCCAGTCCATTTTCAGAGCAGGGCCCTCTGCCAGGCTCTGCCTTGCTCTTAAAGGGGATGTGTGTGCAGGGGGCAGAGTGGGGGGCTATTCCATTATAGAGCTGGGTGCACGTCTCCTGTTCCTCTGCAGGTTTCTCATCGTTCCTTTGGTTCGAGGCTAACGGTTCCAGCTCGTAATGCTCATGCTCCACCTCTCCTCCTCGGCTGTCCAGTTGGTACTTTGTGCCATGCTTGCCCTGGGGTGAGGGGACGTTGGTGGTGCCCTCTTTGAAAGCCTGGCACTGAAACCTCTTGGGCAGGGGGATCTGTCCACAGGTGCCCTGGGGGCCCAGGCAACGGCACATGCACTGGAAGAAGAAGGTGGCGAAAGCCCAACTGATGCACATGATGAGCATCATGAAGGTGCCCAGCTGGGTGTAGGCTAGCACCGTGGACGGCATCATCATCGCCCCGGCAACGAAGGTGGTGAGTGCCGCCATGGCGATAGCAGAACCCATCCGGCCGAGGGAGAAGACTACCTTCCCCTCGCGGTCGGGCTCGGGGGCAAGGCGGTAGGCGACTCCGTAGTGCACGGCGAAGTCCACCGACAGACCCACTGCCACCGAGATGGTGACAGACTCCAGCACGTTAAGCTCCCAGCCCAGCAGAACCAGCGAGCCCACTGTGACGAAGATGGTCCCTGCGATGGAGAGGATGGCGTAGAGGCTGATGATGATGTTCCAGGTGGTGAGGAGCATGACCACGAAGGCCACCACCACGGACAACGCCATGGCGATGAGCGTTCCATCCGATAGGCTGTCCTGCAGGTCATAGAACTCCAGGTTGCTGACGAACCAGCCGTAGCTCAGCCCGTCTGGGGCATTCTTCAGCTCCTCCTGGATCCAGGTGTCCACCTCGTGGTAGAACTGGTGCATCTTCTCATAGGCCAGTGTGAACAGGTAGGTGCTCTTGAACTCCAGGACGATGGCCCGGATGGTGTCGTTGATGTCGAAGCGAGGCCCGGGGGTCTTACTGTCCAGGTGGAAGCTGGTGCTGCGGTCCAGCTCCATGATGGCTCTCTTGATGCACAGCTCAAAGACATCCTGCTTGTAGGGGAAGGTAGACTGACTGCAGCAGGGGTAGACCGAGGCCTCTTCACAGTCCCGGTTCTCCATCCACTGCTTGAAGGTCTCGATGAAGCAGCTGGTGAAATCCTGCTCCTCCGACTGGAACACGAAGCTCTGGTTCCTCAGCTTCTGGCAGAAGTTGAGGATCCACAGCTGGGAGGCCGGGCTGGCGATGTTGAAAGTCTTGTCCAGCATCAGCTTGCCTTTGTTCTTGGGGTTGAGGGGGTCCCCATTGTCCACGGGGGTGACCCCCCAGATGATGGTGATAGGCATGTGCAGGTCCTCCCCGTGGTGGACCCTCTCGAACATGAACAGTTTCTTGTACTCGGCGTCGTAGCGCTCAAATGGGTGGGAGGAGCGGAACACCTTAAACTCGGACAGCTCCAGAGAGGGCAGCTTCATCTTGGGGTTTACACAAACCACGTATGCCCCTCCCACGGTGAAGGCCAGGAAACAGAAAAGCCAGAGGTAACGCAGTTTGATCACGATACACGGCAGCACCTTCTCAAAGAAGATCCTGGAGGCCTCAGAGACAGTGAAGAGGCACTTGTTGGCCTTCTGGCACAGATTGGCCCAGAGGGTGCGGGTGCAAAACCCTGTCTGCTGGTGGGGAGGTTTTGAGCAGGTGAAAATGTTGGGCAGGTAGCGTTCATGGAGCACCACCACAGCCGGCAGCCAGGTCACCATCAGTATGTAGTTAACCAAGATGGCCGTTCCGGCGTAGACACCGAAACAGCGGATGGCGGTGATGTTGCTGACATAGTTGGCGTAGAACGCGGCGGCTGTGGTAAAGCTGGTGACAAACATTGAGAGGGCGGCGTGCTGCAGAGTGATGCTCACCGTCTCCGACAGCTCAGCGTTGGGCTTGTCAAACTTGGTGTAGTTCCACACGTCACAGAGGACGAAGGCGTCGTCTGCCCCGATACCCACCAGGATGATGAGGGCCGTGAGGTTCATGAAGGGGAAGAACTCAAAGTCGAACACCATGCGGTACAGAAAGTAGGACACGATCAGAGAGCTGATGATGGCGATCATGGTCATCAGGGTGATGAACACAGAGCGGGTGTAGACACACATGACAACCAGCACAATCACTATGGCTATGGCTGGATACACGGTATCCGTCAGTAGGTAGTCCTGGAACAGGTTGTGTTTGATACCGAACTCGATCCCCGTGATGGTGGTGACGCCGTCCGAGGAGTTCCAGTTCTCAAAGTTGTCCAGGTAAATGTTCATCATGGTCTCCCCTTTCTCCGTTGGGGAGAACAACATGCTGTGTTTAAGGGAGGGGATAAGATAGTCTGTGTTCTTTGGGCTCAGAAAGTCTTTGTCCACCAGAAAATGGAGGATCTGGTAGATGGCGTTGTACTTGGTGCACTTGCGTGGGACGTTGGTGCACTTGGACTGGTCCTTCCGGCGCGTGGTCATGTCCCAGCAGTCGGGGCCCAGGGTTCCGTTGTGGTAGTACTTGGCGCAGGAGCGCAGGATCTTGAGGGTATGCGACACATCACGCTCTGTGATCTTCTGGCAGGAGGACTTGTTGGTGAGGATCGCCACATAGTTGCCCAGGGTCCAGCTGGGGCAGCAAGAGGCGTCAGTGGTGCGCTGGCACAGGCTCCAGTACTGAGGGTGGGAGCGCACCTGGAGACAACACAACACAACACAAGATAAGAACAGAGTACGACTAGAATATAACTATTGACCCAAGGAGATCAGGAGACAAGGCCAATATATCAGGATGTCAGGTTAGTTCCAGCCTGAGACAGCATAGACTCCAGCCATAACATTTCTAATATGATGGGGCTTATTGAACCATTTGACATGAGAAAATGCTGAGGCACATCTTCAACAGTGCTGTTCCACTTACCCGTGTATTGTCCAAATTGCACATAGATTTAATTGCTTGTATGTTCCACAGGTTCTTCCCCTCTGCTGATGTGAATACTAATCTGGAGTATCTGTCACCTGCACATACAGTAAAGAGCATCTGGTTAGCATTTTATCACAGTCAAACATTCAGTCAGTCAAACACTTACTAGACAAACTCTTGAAACAGGAGAAGTGTTAGGATGAGTTTGTACCTGGAACATCACAGAAGAAACTGTCTTTGCTGAAGTCCCAGTCAGCTTGTCTTTTATCTCGGTCAAAGTGATCTTCAGCCCACCTGTCCTCTTGGTGACTGAAATAAAAAAGTAAAAGTGTGATTGCACTGTTGACTGTTAACATTTCATACATTTGTATAACGGTTCCTATCAATTCTGAAGATCTACATGACAGAATGAGATGTAATCCACTTAAAGCATACACCCAGCAGAGATGGTATATGGTAACAACATGAAAGACAGTTAAAAATAGCACAGTATTGAAGGGTCATTCTTAAACAAATGAAGGAAACGGTTGTAGGCCAACCCATTAGTGATGACAAAGCCAGTGACTGTATCATAAATCAGTAGAGTGAGCACCATCGCAATGTTATCATTATTTTAATAATCGTAATAATAGCCAGATCATAAGAGGGTTTTCAGGGAGTGGTGCCAACAGGCCTTCTTAGGGGCCACATCCTCTGACAAAGACAGACAGGAAGGCCCTTTAATCAGGAGTTTGTCAGAGCAGACTGAGGGGCCGAGGCAGAATTATGCAGAGAGTCCTGCTGACGGCCCCCCCAAGTCCACACACACCTGCTCTTGATTACTCACCGGGCCCCCAGTGATCAGGATAAGTAATGGAAGATAGGCCTGGGATAGAACAACCCCCCCCGACCGACCGATCCTTTTGCAGGATGTGATTGAGATTTAGTGTGTCTGCTTGTCTGTCATCACTCCATCTCCTGGCCTGAGGCCTAAACCTGATCTAGCCTACCTCAGCCCCCTTCATCAGGGATTTTGAATCAATACATGCTTCACTAAAGGGTTAGGAGGATGACAACAAATGGACAGGATCTGTGTGGTAGTCCTTGTTACCTTTTCGCCTGCTCGTCCGCATATTTGAATGGGTAGTTAGCCAGGGTTGCTTTGTACCCTGTGTTTTTCACCATGTTGTTCCATGTGACTAGTCGCTGGCCTATGGCCGTGCCTCGTGGCTCAAATCCCTGAATAAATAGAGGACATCTTTTTAGTTTACCAGGAAATTCGCAGTTGACATATTGGACTTTTCACATGCACTCAATATAATGATTTTGATGTGTGCGAAACACTATGTTTTCAAGCTTGGTCAAATAAAGACCAAGACTTTCTAGGGAGAAAGTGTTGTGCCTTCCGTAGGCTCGGCCTACTCACCAGTAAAGGGTCTGAGAAGTCTGGCAGGTCTGGCACCAGGATACCCACCAGGGCACACACCACGATGAGGACTGTACACACCCCCAGCACCACCACTGGCCAATCAGCAATCAGCTCTGCATAGCTGGAGATGAAGGACAGGTGTTGATTAAACACAAGGCTGATGGCTTTATAACTATTCTAATATTATACGTACTGATAAGTAAACAGAAAAGAGAAGGGTACATGGATACACTAGTAGAATATCAAAAAGAGTAGAAGGTGCTCATTAAAATGCCATTATTGAATATTTGTAGTTATTCACGTATATTCAGCGTTCAGCCTTGAGAGAAACTAAAAGGCATCTTTTGTAAAGGAGCATGGGTGACGGTTAGCAGGTTCCAGGTACAGAGAGACCTTTTCACATAGATAACACTGATGATTCACTATACAGGAATGACAGCTCGGCTGGGTATTGATGGACTCAAGGAGAGAGCTTTCGTAAAAAAAGAGGGAATTATCTTTGGCAGGTCTTACCTTTTGGGGAACCGAAAAGGCCTTGCAGGGCTGCAAAACAAAGGGAGATAAATCAGGTTTACATTTACGAGTCAAAGCAACAGCCAATCAAAACCAGATTTGCCTCGGCATCCGTGCAGGGGGAACATGTTTTTTCATGAAATGTTTTTGAGCAGCAATGCAGCACACACCTTCTGGGGAACAACTCGCTGTATTCAAACTAACATAACCAAAAAGAGGTTGCATTCCCCTGAGGGTAACTTTTAATTTTCATTTAAAAAATACCAATGAATTGTTCTTTAGGTAATATATTCAAAAACCATGCACAGATGTGCAAGTGAATGAAGAATCTCTGACGCTAATTGTTTTAGACAAGACGAAAATCAATGTCAATCTCTTTCTTTAGGTCGGCTTTGTGTTTCCAATCTACAAAAACCCCACACACTGCTGCAGTGCATGAAGAATCTGTAAAGCTTAGCTAAAAGCTTTAGAGGACTAGAGTCCCATTAGTGGTGATGTCTCCTGTGCCATAAACATAGACGGAGAGGATCTGCACTGGGCTTCCCCATTGCCATATGAAGCTTTCAGCTGCTCCGGATTTGTCTGGACTTCCCATCAGCACCTTCCCAGAGCAGTGGGACGCCTCCGGGACGCCGAGTGCAAGCACGAGTCAGAGGGAATCAGATATGGCCACCGGATCACAAAGGCCCGGTACAGATAAGCGCAAGGCCAGAAGGGTGAGAGCAGGGGGGAGACTAGAGGTGGGAGGGGTGGGTTGGAGATGTCTTCATATGCCATATATACACTCAATGCTCATACTGACAGCAAATGACAGCGAGAGGAGACGGGGGCAGACTCACGTGAACACATACACACAGCTGTGACTAAGAAATCTGTAGAAATGGACAGACTGTCCTAACTTTATGTACAAGGAAGGACATCATGAATTCTACTGCAACCTTGATAGGTTTATCCACATTCTATTCACTGCAACCTGCATGAGTATTGCACTATCACTGTCACAATTTGGCACAGACCTCACAGCCCACATCAGGGACTACGTAAGATTACACACAAGAAACTAAAACAAGGAAATCAGTTTCCCCAAACAGGAACTGGACACAGACGATCCTCTGCCTCTGCCAATCACAGTGCACGCACACAGGATATCTCAGCGTGATTGGAGCAATATGGCCAAGGGGCAAAGAGATGGCTGTATTTTTCCTTCTTCCCTTTAAAAGGGAATCGATGGAATGCTATAATTAGTGGTTGCCATTGCACAGTGAGGCAGAGATGAACAAAAGCTATTGGCAGGAATTTTTCACCACTAATAACTTCTGGAGGCAGTAAATACCCTTTAAAGTTAGCTGGACATGTCAATACAACAACCAGATGTTGTATGGCACTGGCTTTGAACAATTTGCATATTCTAGACCAGATGAGTCCCATTAACACTACCACATAGAAATGGAGTGAGACTCCTTGATATACTTTTGCATTCAAGAAAAATTGCCAGTGATTCACCTTTAAAACGTGAGAGCCTGATACTAACCAACAATGCCTAATGAAAAACACATCCCCTCTACCTTAAGTTAGCATTGATTGCCAAGGAAAAATCAGTAACTTAATTTATTGCTTTTCTGTGCTGTCCATTAGTTTCCATGTAGGGGCCTTGAACGGCGGAATTCAGGACGGAGATATTATGGTCCAGAATGAAGTAGAGTTATTGGAAATAGTTGGACTGGATTCATAAAACATCTTTAGTCGAGGAGCCATCAAAAAGAGCCCTGCTGCCTATTTATCTGCAAGATCTGTTTTGGATCTGTTTGCAACTTTCCCAACCATGATTGCATTTCAGACAAATAAGAAGATGTATTAAACAGGGGACTATACTATACTGTGGATTTACGACAGACATCAGAATCCTCAGATACTATGTCTTTCACACGAAGCAAACTTTAAAATGTTTTTTTTTTTCCTCTTTCAAAAAAGTATAGGGCTTGATTATGAATTGAAGTTGGTATTCAAAAGGTAAGCTTTGTGTCTCAATTATCTTTCATCCAATCTGTCAATGACAGTAGCAATGTGAAGAAACGCAGACCAATGTCCTTTAAAAAAAAAAAAATACTAATCTTAAAGGAGGCAGCAGAGGGAGGAGAAATCCGTTGACTGATGATCACACATTCTCTAAATCCAGCAGGATGACAAACCAGAGTCTGGTTTCCTCCACTCCTCTGATCCCAGTCACACAAACCCCCCACATTTCTTCCACAAACTTACAACAGTTACCCTTCCTAAATGTTATTCTATTTACCCGAAAAGGGACTGTTTATGGATCACTGGGTTAACAAATAAAGTAACTGCGGAGCAGTGACTGGGTCAGGCCGCGGCGGCCATGTTGACATGTGGTGGAGTGAAGGGAGGCGAGAGGGGTCAGGGGTCACAGAGCTGAGGGGGGAAAACTGCTAACAGACACGCCAGATATTTCTGGAATCAGGGGCTGCATGAAGCGTTCAAGTCAGGGCAAGAGCAATTACTGTCAACTCTCAATTATTCGCTCCTGTGATTAAAACTCACTGGAACACTGCACACAATTAGAGGCTCATTCAAGCGATGGAATTGTAAGATTGGCTTGAGGGTGGAATCCAAATATCAGCATGACGCATTACAAATTGTAGTGAAATGTTGAGTATAAAAAAATCAATATTGATCATTAGGGAGTAGCCACCAGCATGCACTTAAAGGGATACTTCGGAATTTTGGGGAAGTTCTACAATGAGATACTAGTCTATAGTATCTCATTGTGCTAACGCTAGTTAGCACTGGTTCGCAAAACTACCTCCAACTTCCTTCATACTGGCCGCAGAGACATACAAATGGTATCGCCGAGTTCATCGGACAATGGGGAAGTAGATAAAGGGCATCATTGACAAAATCCAGAAGCATCCCTTTAAGTCAGGGCTCATCAACTTCCACTGTATACCTTAAATAGATTATAGGTACATACAAGCTTGTAAGAAATAATACTGTAACACTGTACTTACAAGTTAGTTACACAACACAGGTCTCTGATAGGGTTTATTTGGAGGTAACAAGGCCTCTGAATGCAAGCGTGTATGAGAAAATGTGAGTCTGAATAAGAGATTATTGCTGTATATTAAGTCTAAGCGCAATGTGTATGTGTAGAAGGGACATGGACAGCTACATCCACCAGTGCATTTGGTCTGGAGGCCACACCTCCATCTCCACATTCTTCGGATTGAAATATGGGCGTGTACAAATTCCAGGCAAACAGGCCGGATTTCAACACTGTAGCCAATAGTTACAAGCTGTCCAATAGATGTCTTTATTACCCTGTGGCCTCTCTCTCTTCATAGCAACCATCTTAACCCCCTGAGTCCAGGGGCTTCAGAACCACAATCCAAGGAATGTGAGGGTATTGCACATGCCATCACCAACCCTGCACTGCGCTAACCAACAGACATCTTTGTCAACTAGTCCGAGCAGGGCGAATTAAGCAATACACGAGTCACTATGCCAATAATGACTGTCTACGTGTCATGAATTATTTAACAAAGGCCTAGTCACTTATGGTGTTCTTCAGATGTTTGCTAAATAGGCTAGGTCCGTGATTAACATTTTAAGCGGTTTTAGCAATAATTCTTACTAGGGTTGGGCGATGTCAACCTTTTTCCTATCGTGATTATGTACCCATAAAACATTGATATACGCTGCCATTTCGCCCCCTATTGGCCAACCCAATTTGTATTTAAAAAAGGAAAAATAACAATTCAGCTAAAACGACAGTTAGGCTATAATGCAAAAATCGAACGCAACTGGATGAATCATGACAAAAGTTAATGTTGTTGAAAGCCTGGGCAGAGGCTAAGTGCAGGCAAATCTTATCTAATATTCCTTTCTGGTGGAGGAGCTGCAGCATGGAGCAAGTGTGTGTGTGTGTGTGTGTGTGTGTGTGTGTGGCGCGCTGTGATGAAGCAGTAACTGTCTGATAAGGAACAGGCGGTCTTACCGTAGTGACATCTTGGGCTGGATAGAAGTAGTCTACCGTCTTTAGAGCTGGATAATATAATAGCTTAATTTGCCTAATAAAATAATATCATAAACCGGTGATTGAGAATAGCCTATGCCTTGGCTTAGGCTATAGACTTTCATTCTTATTATTTTTGAAAGCCACAACCTTAGGAGAACACCTTTGTAGCCTAGAATATTTGGGAAATAAGCTACTGTTCATAACTTTAACTTGTCTTAAAGCCTTTATGATAGGCCAGTAGGAGGAATGAGGATGGGTTATTGGCCATTTGGTTTTCAACCTCGCTTGGAGGCCTGCATAAGTTATTTCTTAAGCTTAAACTTGATTCAACTTGTCATTCGATTTTTCTATAGGCTATTGATTTTGTTTGTTCTCTCTAAATATTACTCAATTTTATTTATTTTTTACATCTAAAACATAAGATAGTTAAGGAGTGTACGTTATATATATATATACAGTGGGGAGAACAAGTATTTGATACACTGCCGATTTTGCAGGTTTTCCTACTTATAAAGCATGTAGAGGTCTGTAATTTTTTATCATAGGTACACATCAACTGTGAGAGACGGAATCTAAAACAAAAATCCAGAATATCACATTGTATGATTTTTAAGTAATTAATTTGCATTTTATTGCATGACATAAGTATTTGATACATCAGAAAAGCAGAACTTAATATTTGGTACAGAAACCTTTGTTTGCAATTACAGAGATCATACGTTTCCTGTAGGTCTTGACCAGGTTTGCACACACTGCAGCAGGGATTTTGGCCCACTCCTCCATACAGACCTTCTTCAGATCCTTCAGGTTTCGGGGCTGTCGCTGGGCAATATGGACTTTCAGCTCCCTCCAAAGATTTTCTATTGGGTTCAGGTCTGGAGACTGGCTAGGCCACTCCAGGACCTTGAGATGCTTCTTACGGAGCCACTCCTTAGTTGCCCTGGCTGTGTGTTTCGGGTCGTTGTCATTGCTGTAAGACCCAGCCACGACCCATCTTCAATG